CCCCGCCGCACCTTTGCACGGAACCCGGGATCAGAAGCCAAGAGCAGGGAGCTCCCACACGCCCAGCTCAGGACTTCAAAAACAGTGTCACCCTGGCTGGGTTCCGCCCGCCAGGCCAGGGTGGCAGTGTGCTCACGCTGGAAGGGGACAGTGACATACTGTCCCCAACACCAGGCAGAGGGGAGCCCACCCACACCCCACGGGGAGGGGAATGGGGCTCTACAGCACCACCAGGCGGGGCAGGGGCTACGATGACCCCTCCCCCCGGGCATCGCCCGCGGCCCCCAGAGATGGGGTGTCGGGGACTCCCCCTCCCCCGCGTCTGCATCAGCTGATGGACCCAGCTCTCTGCAGCGCTCCCGGCTCCCTTCCTGTTTGGGGGAGAACTGCAGAGCCAGGATGCAACCCACGACTGCGAGGTGGGGGTTGGGCGCGCAGTGACACCCTAACCTCAGAACATCAACTTCTCCTTTTGAGGCGCTGACAGAAACTCCCCAGGGGAGCAGGCCCTGCGGCCCGAGGCCTAGCAGCCTGGGGCAGGGCAGAGCGCGTTTTCACGAAAGCACACACCCAGGGTGAAGACAGGGCCCACCAAAGGCTTCCTGGGGCGTGGGCCGTGGCTGTCACCTGGTTTAAACACAGGGTCTTTGCAGATGTGGTGAAGACAGGGATCACAGGACGGGGTCATCTGTGATTCTGGATGACCCCAAAACCCAGTCATGAGAGCACAGGGAAGACAGTGAGGCGGACAAGCACCAGGTGCAGGGAGCAGAGACTGCACGCAGCAGGGCTGCAGCCATAAGCCAAGGGGTACCGGGCGCAGGCGGGGGGGGAGGGGGGGAAAGGGGGCAGGGCAGGCCGGGGGGGGGCAGGCGGGGGGGGGGGGATGGGCAGGCCGGGGGGGGGACAGGGCAGGCGGGGGGGGAGGTGCCGGGCAGGCGGGGGGGGGCGGGGCAGGCAGGGGGGGGGAGGGAAGGGGGGTGCGCCAGGCAGGCGGGGGGGGCGGGGCAGGCGGGGGGGGGGTGCACCAGGCAAGCAGGGGGGCGGGGCAGGCCGGGGGGCGGGGCAGGCCAGGGAGGGGTGCCGGGCAGGCTGGGGGGGGTAGGGCGGGGGGGGGGGGGGGCAGGCCAGGGGGGGGCGTGGGGGGCAGGAGGCTCCCTCTCAGGGCTCCGGCACATTGGTGCTCAATTTCTGGCCTACAGAACCCTGAGAGGGAATTCCTGCTGGCTTCATCAACCCGTTTATAGTGCTTCACTACAGTGGCCACAAGATCCTCATGTGCCAATATGTCTTTGGGACTCAGTTCCCTCATCTTTACACGGGCCCCGCTGCTGTGTGGATTTTGACAGACGGTGGATGAGCCCTAGGAAGCCCAGCGCCCGACACAGTGGACAACAGGAGGACACGTGAACCACTCAGTGCCACGCGGGGGAAATACTCAGCTCAGAAAGCGTGGGGCCTAGCCGGGCGCGGGCGGCTCACGTTTGTCATCCTAGCTGCTCAGGAGGCTGAGCTCTGAGGATTGTGGTTCAAAGCTGTCCTGGGCAGGAAACTCCATGAAACTCTTATCTCCAATAAACCACTAGAAAATCAGAAGTGGAGCCGGGCACCGGTGGCTCACACCTGTCATCCTAGCTACTCAGGAGGCTGAGATCTGAGAATAATGGTTCAAAGCCAGCCCAGGCAGGTAAGTCTGTGAGACCCTTATCTCTAATAAACCACCTAAAAACCAGAAGTGGCGCTGTGGCTCAAGTGGTAGAGCGCTCGCCTTGAGCTGAAGAGCTGAGGGACAGCGCCCAGGTTGAGTTCAAGCCCCACGACCGACCCAAAAAAACAAAGAAAAAGAAAAAGAAAAGCTCGGGGCCTACAGGTGACACCTGTGCGCTCGGCATCCGATGGCACGGACTCCGGGGGGGGGGCAGTCCCCTGGGGACACTCTGGTTGGCACCCCTGCGGAGGGAGGTGCCACTGGTGAGAGGAGGCCAGCGTGTCCAACGCCCTTCCGTGCTCCGGGACCGGCCCGCGCAGAAGAGCCTAGATTGGATTTGAACGCACCTTGCCCCTTGGCACAGGGTGGCCCCGGGAGGCGTGGTCGCGCGGACATGGCGCTGGCTCCGGTCCAGTCGGAGCCCTCGCGCAGCTGGGCACAGGCTGCTGACTCACGGAGGGTCACCACGTCACCCGCGCAAACGGGCTGGTGTGCCAGTCTCTGAGGGGACCAACCCCAGGCGCAGAGGCTGGCAGGGCCTTGCCCGGCTTAGGGCCAGGACCACCATGGTGGCAGGGCTAGAGCCCCCGGGGACAGGGGCAGCGAATGGCACCAGCCCCGCCCCCCAGGCCCCTGTGTGCACCCTGCCTCTCCAATCTGCGGACACGACTTTTTTTTGGAAATACGGCTACATGGATCCATTTTTTTTCTTTTTTTTGTCACTCGTGGAGCCTGAACTCTGGGCCTGGGCGCTGTCCCTCAGCTCTTCAGCTCAAGGCGAGCGCTCTACCCCTTGAGCCACAGCGCCACTTCCAGCTTTTTCTGTTGATGTGGTGCTGAGGAATCGAACCCAGGGCCTCATGCATGCGAGGCGAGCACTCTACCACGGAGCCACCTTCCCAGTCCCAGATCCATGTTTTCTAAACTGCTCAAACAAATTGCCTTTATCTGGCGCGGGTAAGCGATGACCCAGCTCACTGCTGGGAGCTGAAGAAACCCCAGGACTGGGGCAGAGAGCGGGCGGGAGAGGCGGGAGGCGCTTTGGGGAGGGCAGCCCGGCCCCTCTGCTAGGCCCCGCGGGACGGAGGCCTGCCACGCTCTGACTGGCTTGCGGCCTCCAGGACCGCGAGGCGGGGGCTGCGGAGGGAGCCTGCCCCCCTGCCCTGCGTGGAGCGTGCGCGCCGAGCTCCAGCCCCAGCCACGCCCTGCTGGGCATCAGCGCGGAACGTGGCACGGGCGGGCTCTGGTGTGTGCCGCCTGCTGGACCCCAGACAGCGAGCAGCCTGCGTGGTGAACTCCCCCGTCGGTAAATGCGCAGCCACACACTTCCATCCCAATGTCCCTGTCTCAGCCTGGATGTGGGTGCCAGGGAGGACCTCGCTTTTCCTCCTGGCACACGCAGCATGGTCTGGTCTCCGGCCGTGGCTGAGCTGCTGCCGCAGTCACCGGGCATCACCAGGGCCAGAGCTCCATCAGACAACCCTCCTGTGCACACACAGCCCAGCCGGGCACGCAGCGCGCGGGACTCGGGCACGCGACATGGTCTGTTCCGGGAGGTCACGCGGAACTGCAGAGGCGGAGCGAAGCCCGCCCCGGGGCTTGTGTGAGGGCAGCGCGCGTGCGCTGGGGCTGCGATGACAGAGAAAGCCGCATGCGCCACAGGCTCTGGGAAATGGGACAGGTGCGCGGCCACGAGGGGCAGACAGGACGGCGAGGCGCTTCCACTGACCGCGCTCCTCTGGGAACACTATTTCCTTCCCAGCCATGCACAGCCACGCACGGCCAGCGCAGGTAAGGGACAGCCGTGGCGTGGGCTGCGTGGTGAGAGGCAAACTGTAGCGAACAGAAGGAGGTTGATTCCGAGGTGGTTTTTAAGTTACGCGGGTGGGGGCTGGGAGTGGAGGAGGCGGGAGAAGCAGAGCCGTGCGTGGCCGGGCCGGCTCCGATGGCCCGCAGGGACATCCTGGCAGGGACCTGGGCGAGGTGGAGACACATGGGGTTTCCATGAGTCCACATGGTAGCCCCCAGCGCCACCAAAGACAACAGGCCAGAGGGGGTGAGGGCCCCCCAAGTCCCTGCCAGCCTGGAGGAGGGCTTGAGATCACACAGTCACCCTTGGGAGCCGTGAGGGCTCAGCTCCACGACACCCCGAGAGCCAAAGCTGCACAGAACACGGCACCCACCTACCTAGGCCCGGCCTGCACACCCCGCTCCACACCCCGCCACCACCCTGCGAGACACACACAGCTAACCACGCCTGTGTGCTGTGTGGACACTCACAGACAGAGGTTCAGAACCAAAACAATTCTGTTCATCAAAGGGAAAGGCAGATGACTGCACCCACACACCGTGTGCCAGGCAGCACCCCAACGCCGAGACCCATGGGAGCATCCTACCCAAGAATCCATTCCGTGAGAGCCAGGGCAATGGGCGTGGCGGCCACTCGCTGGCCCCGCCCACTGCCCCCGCGGTGGACGCCATGGTGTCCTTTCCCCATCTGGGATACTCTGAAGCTGGGGCATGGCTGGCTCTGGGGAGCCGGACCCTCCTGGGTCTCACCAGTTCTGAGAGACAGGGGGAGATGCTTCCAGAGCTTATAGGATGGTCACCGGCTTCCCTAGGCCCCCCGCATTCCAGGCCACGAACCCCGCCCCAAGAACCGCAGGCCCCCCGATGGCTGAGGATGGCCTCTGCGCTCTCGGAGGCGGCATCCCTCAACTCCTCAGCCCGCACCGCCTCTTCCTGCCTAAGAAACTCACGAGACTGGCTTCCCCGAAGGGCGCAGGCCTGCCGCTGGCCCTGCTGGAGTTGTGAGGAGCAAACCACCTCCAAGGGCGGCCATCTCTACACCTGCGGGCCGAGTAATAACATCTACTCTGTGCATGTGTGCGTGTGCGTCTGCGTGAGTGTGTCCTCCCGAGCTGTAATAACGTCTACTCTGTGCGTGTGTGCGTGAGTCCTCCTGAGCTTTTATGCTCAAACCTAGGGTTATACCACTTGAGCCACAGCTCCGCTTCCTGCTTCTTGGTTGTTCATTGGAGCTTTAAGTCTCATGAACTCTCCTGTCCAGGCTGGCTTTGGACCGTGATCCTCGGATCTCAGCCTCCTGAGATGCTAGGATGGCAGGCGTGAGCCCCTCCCACCCCCCAGCTTAAAACCTAATCTTATTAGTTTTACTATCATTTCCGTTGCTGGACAGAGACAGGACTCTGGACCTTTGCACATGCTGGCTATGCAACCACTGTACCGAGCAGCCCAGCGCCCACCCATCTGGAGGGCTCCCGGTGCTCACCTCCAGCACGGGCCCCGCGCCCAGGATGGTCCGCTCCACGCCGCTGGCGTAGCCCTTCTGGCTGAAGGCAGTGAGGCAGTGGATGAGGAAGTTGGTGCTCTGGGTCTTGCCCGAGCCACTCTCACCGGAGATGACGATGCACTGGTTCACGCGCTTGCGCAGCATGGCGTGGTAGGCCACGTCGGCCAGCGCGAACACGTGCGGCTCCAGCTTGCCCAGCTGCTGGTTCTCGTACATCTTCACGTACTTGGGGTTGTAGATGGGCAGGAAGCGGAAGGGGTTGACGGCCAGCAGGATGCTGCCGGCGTACGTGTAGATCTTGTGCTGCAGGAAGCGGCGGTGCAGGGTCTCCAGCAGGGCGCCCTCCGTCAGCTCGGGCAGGTCGCAGAGGTCGTCAAAGTCGGCCGGGGGCCGGGGCAGCAGCCCACGCTCCACCAGGCGCCGGGCGGGGCCCGCCGGGGCGCCCGGGGCGCGCGCGTACTGCAGGGCGCCGTCGGGGCCGCGCTCCTGCAGCAGGAAGAAGAAGCCGTCTTCCCGCGGGTGGTCGTCCTGTGCGCGGCGCGGCCACAGCAGCACGCGGTGCGCCGGGGCGTCCGCCGCATCCAGCACCCACTCCTCTCCGCCGCTCGCCCGCACCTCCACCAGCGCGTAGCGCCGCGAGCCGTCCAGGCGCAGGCTGGCCACCGCGGCCCGGATGACCTCGGACGCTGTGCTGTCCCGGCTGGCCGTCACGCGGCACGGTGCCCGGCTCCCAGGGGGCGAGGGCGAGCGCAGCCGCGGGTAGATGCGCAGGTGGAAGGCGCCGCCCGCCTCGGCCTCGCGCGCACTCATCCTGCCCGCCGCCGCCGCCGGGCCTCCGCATGCCTTCCGGGTCCCGTCCGGTCCGGGCGCTCCTGCAGCGGGAGGGGACGAAATGGGGACGGGGTCAGCACGGGTTGCGGCAGGGAAAGGGGGAGTCCTCCAAGGACAGGATCGTCCTGGGGGACTGAGGGGCCCCCTCCCTCTGGGAAAAACGGGGACCCCTCTGTGGATGGGACTGTTGAAGAGTCCCCTACCCGCCCCAGCAGGCTGGTCCACCGGTACCGGGCGAACCCCGGGCCTTTGCACACTAAGCAAGCTCTCTGCGGGGAGTCACAGCGCCACAGCCCCTTCCGCTGTCATTTTTGGATTTTTGGGGGGGAGGTAGTACTGGGATTTGAACTCAGGGCATCGTGCTAGGTAGGCTGGTGTTCTACCACTTACACCCCACCTCCAGCTTTTTCTGCTATATTTTACTTTTTTTTGTGGGTCCTGGGTCTTGAACTCTGGGCCTGGGCGCTGTCTCTCAGCTCTTCAGCTCAAGGCAAGCGCTCTACCACTTGAGCCACAGCGCCACTTCCAGTTTTCTGGTGGTTTTATTGGCGATGAGTCTCATGACCTTTCCTGCCCGGGGTGGTTTTGAACCCCAATCCTCAGATCTCAGCCCCCTGAGTAGCTGGGATGACAGGCATGAGCCATGGCGCCCGGCTTCACCGTATTTATTTGTAAAACAGCCTCGGTCGTTGGCTAGGCTGGCCTGAACCCCGCAGGCCGCAGGCAGAGAGCAAGTGACCCTATCTGGAAAATAACGAAAGCCAAAGTGCTGGGCCCTGAACTCCGGGATCCAGGGTCTGTGCTTGGCATGAGGCCCTGAGTTCGAACCCCAAGATTTCAAAAGCAAACAGGAAGGTGCACGTGGGCTGCTGGAGACGTCTTTTGGATGCTGGCTCCACGGACAACGCCCGGACACCCACGTCTCTGAGTGACGTGTGCGAACGGCGCTCCATGGGGGGGTAGGGGCTACGGTTTGGATCTGGTTTGAGTATGTCCCCAAGCTTCATGCCGGAGTCTTGCTGCCTGACCTGACACGGGAAGGGGGCCTTTATGAAGCGGGCCTCGCGGGCAGTGGTGGGGCCCTATCAGCTCCCTCCAGGGTGGGCGGTCAGGAGCTGCAGGCCGGGGCCCTCCATCCCTGGGGCTTTCTTGCCGTGTGACCCATTCACCACAGGGGCGGCTCTGCCCATGCCATCCGCCACCAAGAAAGACCTCACTAGAAACTACCAGAAAAGGACGGATGACCCTCCTTCCAACCTCCAGAACTCTGAGCTAAATCAACCACTCTTCACTTATTTTACCAGTCCTGGGGCTCGAACTCAGGGCCTGGGCGCCGTCCCCGAGCGGCTTCTGCTTGAGGTGAGTGCTCTACCACTGGAGCCACAGCCCCATTTTCAGCTTTTCCTGTGTGTGTGGTGCTGAGGAACAGAACCCAGGGCTCTGTGCTGCCAGGCGGGAGTCTACCCCTGAGCCGCCTTCCCAGCCCCCAACTCTTTTGTGTTGCACAAAAGCCGCAGGGCGTGCCGGGTCCTGGGGGGTGGAGAGGCCGTTCAGACCCATCCAGGTCAAGCCAGCAGACTCCCTTCTCCTCCTCCGAGGATGCTGGGCTTTGGGGTTGTTGTGTGCCAGTCTCGGGGATTGAACCCAGGGCCCAGGCACCTTCCCTCCACTTTTTGCATTCAACCGCTTGAGCCAAGCTCTACTTGCAGCTTTTCCCTGCTCAACTGGGGTTAAGGGTGTCAAGGACCCCCCCCCCCCCGCCCCAATTCAAACCACCATCGTCAGATGGATCGCAGCCTCCTGAGGCGGAGTAGGTTTCAGGCAAAAGCCTTGGGCGGGCGCCGTGTCCAGGGCTGGTTTTCCAGGGAAAGAGTGAGCGAGAGGGGAGCAGCCGGGCGGCCGCCGTGCAGCGGAGCCATCACCGCCGAGCGAGCCCGGGCTGAGAAGGCTTCAGGTATTTACCGCGTCCTCATTTCTAGAAGGCTCTGCCCTCTCACGGAGCAGGCACAGGAGCCAGCACCGCAGCCCGGAGCAGCTGGGGACGGAGGCCGCGCGGCCATCCACGCGGGTAAGGAAAGGGGCACAGGAACACCCGCCCCACGTCCCGGGACGCAGACCCAACAGACGAGGCTCCGTAACCTGTGCTCGGATAACATCCGGATCCCCCTGGGCCGACCAGTGCCCCCCCCAGCACTGCGAGACCCACAAACAGAAAACCCGGGTCACGATACACACACAGAGCCAGGCCGCCCTGCGGGTCCGTGGGCTCCGCCGCAGAGCGTGCCTGGCCGGGTGTGGGCCGCGACGGGTCGCGCACCGCATTTCCAGCCGATCGGTCGCCGGCTCAACCATCAACCCGAGATGCTTCTTTTCTCTTTACCGTGGCCCGGGCTGAGCGGAGCTGACCGTTCTCCCGCCTCAGCCTTGCCAGGGCCAGGATTACAGCTGGCGCCTGGAACGCACCGAGTTTCCCGTCTCACAGGTGGGAGGAAGCCACGTGTCCACCAGTGGGCAACAGACACAGGAGCCCTGCTCCATGCACACCGTGGAATATTACTCAGTCAGGAAAAGGAGCACAGGAAGCTCCCACACACCCTACGACGTGGACAGGACTGGAACACAGGGAGCTGAGCGACAGAAGCCACACACGGAAGGCGGCACACAGTGACCCACGGACAGGTAACAACCCAAACAGGCCAATCCAGAGTCCCAGAGACCAGGGGCGGCCTGGGGCTGGGGCGGAGCCTCCTCTTGGAAAAGGTAGGAATGTTCTGGAACCAGATAAAGGTCCTCCTTGCACAACACTGCCAATGTCCAGATTTCACACTTTAAAACAGAGAGCCAGACACCAGTGGTTCATGACTGTCATCCTAGCTTCTCAGGAGGCTGAGATCTGAGGATCCCCGTTCAAAGCCAGCCAGGGCAGGAAAGCCCAGGAGACTCTTATCTCCAATGAACCACTAGGAAACAGGAAGTGGCGCTGTGGCTCAAGCCACAGAGCGCTCAAGACAGCGCCCAGGCCGAGTTCAAGCCCCACGACCGACCAAAAAAAAAAATCAACAGGGTTTTACGCTCTGTGATTCTCACGTCAGCAACAGCTAAGACTCAAGGCTAGCTCATCCCACCTATAGAAATGCTAGAAAACGCCAGCTTGCCCCCAGGGCAGGAAGCAGGCTGCTAGCTGTGTGGAGGGGGGGAGGGGGAGGGAGGACTGCACACCTTCCAGGAAGTGGCTGTGCGGTGGTGCAAGCCTGCAATCCCCGCATACAGCCTGCTCAAGGCCAGCCCCAGCCTTACACACACACACACACACACACACACACACACACACGCACGCAAGCTCCCATCTTCTGGTCAGTCCTGGGGCCTGGGCACTGTCCCTGGGTTTCTCGTGCTCCAGGCTGGCGCTCTACCACCGGAGCCACAGCACCACGTCCGGCCTTTCCTGCCAGGCTGGCTCAAACTGCTGACCCTCAGACCTCAGCCTCCTGAGCAGCTGGGATGACAGGCGTGAGCTGCCAGCGCCCCGCTGCAAGACCCCATTTCAAGAACGGTTCAAAATGACGGGAACCCTGACGGAGCTTGTCTAGCCTTTATGGAACACTTTGTCATGTGCCAGGTACTGAGTTCCTGGAACCACACTGCAGGGGAACATGGGGGGCGGTAAGCACACCCCAGGAGCTGAGGGGGGCAGCCCTGCCACCCGACAGCACCAGGGTGGACAGCCAGGAGGAGGAGGAGGAGGAGGACGGGCGAGGAACGCAGCCCCCAGACTGCCGTTCTGCGCCTCCGTCAGCACGGAGGGCACACCCCGCACCTGCACACGCACGCGGTACACGCGGCCAGTGCTGCGCACGGTGTTTGTCGAGGGGGGTGGGATCACCCGAGCCTGGGTGACACCACACGCCCTCAAAGTGGGGTCCTGCTGAGACATCGACGTACACGCGCGTGTTCAGCACGCGCACACTCCACGCACACGCCACATCCATGTACACAAGTGGTCAGTGTGCACAGTGCAGACACACAGCCCGCACGCTCCCGCACAGCCACACAGCCCCGCGGGTGGCATGCACTGGGGGGCAGCGGGGGTATGCACTACTTGTGGGGCGCACACGCCCCCAGCTCTGGCCACTTGTGCTCTGGAGCTATGACAGGACCTTCGAACCCTGTGGCGTCCGCCACCTGACCCGCGGGTCCCCAGCCTCTCCTGGGACCACACGGGGCCCAGGGAGCCCCGCTGGGGACAAGGCCTGAGATGGGGGCTCCCAGCTTGGGGGTCCCTTTGTTGAGAGGCCAGAGAAGAGAAGGCGTAGGAAACCATCCTGCCAGTGATGGGGGTTTGGGGGGGCCAGGCCCAGGAACAGCCCCTCCAAGGCCCCCCCCAGGCAAGAAGGAAGTTGATCAAGCTTGCTTGACGCCAGGCGGCCAGCCGGGACCCAGGAATCGTGCCTGTGACGGGAGGAGGGGGGGGGCGGGGGGAGGGCCACCGGGGAAGGACACCCGGGAAGGTGTGCAAGCTGACAATGAAATCCAACGGCTATCATCAAAGTACGGAGGGACCGATGTCTTTATAAAAGAACTTCTTGATAAAAGATGTTCTTTATAAAAGAAACCCTGAGCCGGGCAGGCGCCGGTGGCTCACGCCTGTCATCCTGGCTCTCAGGAGGCTGAGATCTGAGGATCGCAGTTCAAAGCCAGCCAGGGCAGGAAAGTCCATGAGCCTCTTATGTCCCATAAACCACCAGAAAACCGGAAGTGGCGCTGTGGCTCAAGCGCTCGCCTTGAGCTGAAGAGCTCCAGGCCCAGAGTTCAAGCCCCAGGACAGACAAAACCAAAACCAAAAAGAGCCCTTGGCCCGGTGTGGTGGTGCATGCCTGTCATCCTGACTACCCGGGAGGAGACAGGACGGAAAACTCCACCCAGGGGGCCTAGGGCCGCGGCTCCAGTGGCAGAGTCTCATCTGGCCGGCAGCGTCCTCTCCCCTGCTCACCGCGGTGGGTCCCGCGTGGCCCCTTCCCTTCCCTGCTAACGTCAGAGGGGCCCAAG